AGGGGCCACGGGGCTCTTTTGGATTGCTAGGGGGGGGGGGGGGAACGTGCAGATCTGCCCTCACAGAGGAGGGAGAGCTTGTACCTGAAGGGGCTGCTTTACCTGGCTGCTTCTTGCTCCTGATGGCCTGACTGAGGGCTGCTGGGAGCAGGGGGTGGGTTTTGTTGCATGTGCCAGCCTGCTGGGCTCCTTACTGCCGGAGCTCTGCTCCTGTATGCTCCCACAGGAAATTACCCCTGAGTATACCCCAAGGACATCTGCATCGCTGGGGTTCAGGCAGTAGAATAATGTCCCCCCCATCCCCATTTTGCAACCATGAAAGCTACCTCTGCTGAACTTTAATGTCTGGGAGAACTGATCGGAGAGATGCCAGGCAGTAACCCAGACAGCCCGGCAGCCCCTTCCCTTGAAGTGTGGAGGCTGGCTGAGGAGGCCAGGGGGGCGTCTGGCAGGCCAAGGAGGATGTGGGGTCTGGCCTGGCAGGCAGCACAAGGAGGCCTCTCTGGGGCAGATTGGCTGGGGAGACGGGCAGGAGCAGGCAAGCAGGGGAGTGAAGACCAAAAGGGGGCACACAGCAAGGCCGGTGGGTGGGCGGGCCGGTGGGCCATGAGAGTGGAAGGAACAGTGTCCCACCCGTACCCATCCAAAGTGGATTACTGCAGACCTGTGTGCAATCCCAGTGGCTACAGCTTGCAGGCAACCCAAGAAGCTCACAAACTCCCCCCCCCCCAGGAGTAAAGGGCTCTTTCTTTCTCTGCACCCTTATTAGAAAAATACACAACAAAATCTTTAATCTGTCAGGTAGCCCTGTCATAGAACGGGGATGTGGAGGGGTGCACAGCCTCCTCCTCGTTCCCAGCTCATCCCTGTCTAGCTTCTGGCTGCTATCTCTGGCCTGACCTTGTTGTCGTTCTCCAGCTGCAAATTAACTTGCCTGGGAAAGTTAACGGCTTAGGCGCTTAGCTGCTTGCCTGCTTCTTGCTGCCCGCGCACGCAAAATGTACTCATTGGCTTGGGCTCATGGGGGGGGGGTAGTTTGATTACACTGTAATAACCATGTGTGTTTGCAATTGCATTGTCTATACTGTACTGTTGCTGTGTCTGTCAGATGTCTGTGTATCTGTGCATTTGGGACTCAGGGATTACTGCTGTGTTTACTGTTGTGTATGGCTGGCTGCACATCTCATGCTTGCCTATGGCTGGGGCCTGGACTACAGGACACGTGCCTCCCTGCACCTTCCCAGAGTGCCTCTGGACAAAGAAGACCAGCGCCATTGTACCAGTTGGGACACTTGGAGAAACGACAGGCTTTCCCACCATTGCTGAACTGTGGGAAACCACATAACTCTTCCTGCTATCTGGTTTTGGCATCACAAAGAAAACTTCCTTTATTGCCCGTTGTGGAGCAAGCACATCTCTGCAAGTCAAAGGTTGCCAACGGAAACAGCGTTCACACCTGACCACATGGCTCTATCTTTGAAGTCAGGGCAGAGCATCTGACTTCAAAGCTCCTCGGCAGAAGGGCGGGGCGAGGAGGAGAGGAGGGGAGGGGAGGGGCAGGAAGCAAAGGCTCCTCTCACCTGCTGGATTTTCTCTGGGATATCGCTGACGTTGAAACCATAGAGACGGACCCGGTCAGGAAAGATGGTGGAGAGGATCCTGCGGTCCAGCTGGAAGGCAATCTCCCCGACAATGCGCTCCATGGTCACCTGTTTGGAATCTGAAAGGACATTTGCACTCAGTGCAGAAATTGCCAGCCCCCCGCCGCCCCCCCCCCCCGTGCGCGCCTGCACAGCCTTTCCCTTCAGGGTCAGTGAAGGAGAGGTGCCCAGGAGGTGGATTTCTGGCGATGGTAAAAGACACAGACAGACAGACATGCTGCTCTTCACTGCTGCTTAGGGAAACCGCAGTGAGCCACGGTGTCAAATCTGTCTCCTGAGAAGTTGATGGGGGGAGCCTGGAATTATGCTGCCAAAGGCTTCCCCCAAGTCCTCTGGGTCTTCATTCTGTAGCTAAGCGGGGTGTTGCGGCTTAACCCTCCCTACAAAGGGCTTCTGTTTTCTGCCCAGGAGAACCTCCGCCTGCTAAAATGACAATCGTACGAGGAATCGTACCCACTCCGAGGTGGGTGAAGCGACTGACTCCCAACTTCATTCGCATTTTTTGTGTCTGTGATATGGAATTATTTCCTTCTGACGATTGTATCCCACAGGATCAACCCTCCAGATGTTCAAAGCAACTCTTACACAAAAGACGTCTTCAGAGAGAAAAACACCTCAGCGCCGTCCACCTCAGTTACCTCCCAGCCACACACATGCCTACGCGCAAAAGTGTAAGTCATCTCCCTACGCGTCTGGCTGGGCTGACTTCCCTTCCGTAGGGAAGCCAAGAGTTCCACAGGGAGAGACTTGGGGAAGGGGCACCGTTCAGGTGACAAGTTCCCAGGTCCACCGCGTGGCATCTCCAGCTGAGCAAAGAGCTCCAGAGGCAGGACTCAAAAAGCAAAGGCCTCTCCTGCCCAAGAGGGGAGGTGGCATTTCTCTCCACAGATCTATGGCCTGGCTTGGTGTGAGACAGGTCTGAGCTAGAGGGCCCTGGCTAGCCCACGCTTGTCAGATCTCGGAAACTAAGCAGAGTCCGCCCTGGTTCGTACTTGGATGGGAGACCCCCAAGGAATGCCAGGGTCGTGACGGAGAGGCAGGCAACAGCATATGGCCACCTCTGAATGTCTGTTGCCTTGAAAGCCCCACCAGGGGTTGCTATAAGTCAGCAGCAGGTTGAGGGCACTTTCCTCCACCACCACCAAGGCACTGTGACTGGCCTGGCCCATGAGTGCGGAGGCCCTGTGCATCCCACATGGCAAAAGGAAAGCTAAAATGCCTTAAGGACTCTCCGTAGCCCCTTTGGTGTAGTGGTTAAGTGTGTGGACTCTAATCTGGGAGAACCGGGTTTGATTCCCCACTCCTCCACTTACACCTGGCTGGATGACCTTGGGCAAGCCATAGTTCTGATAAGAGCTGTCCTTGAAAAAGAGCAGTTTCTGTCAAGAGCTCTCTCAGCCCCCACCTACCTCACAGGTGGGGAGGGGAAGGGAAAGGAGTCTGTAAGCCGCTCTGAGACACCTTTGGGTAGTGAAGGGCCATGGGGTATGAATCCAATCTCTTCTCTCTTCTTCTAATAATGATGCTTGAGTGTCAGGAAAGGGTCCTGTTCGAGTGCTCATCAGGGCCTGGAAGAAGAGAGCTTCCTCTCTAGCTAAAGGAGGGGGGAGCAGGTGGGTGCAAACAGAGCACTGAAGCTTAGATGTCGGAGAGAGAAGCTGACACCTCTCTGAGACTTGGCCAAGGCCTCTTTTGCGCTGCAGGATCTCTCCGTCTCTGGGCATCTGAGGTGTGGGTTAAGCATGTGCTGCCCTGTAGGGGTGTCACTGTGCCCTGCACCTGCACATTTGTGAATTAGGCCAATTCTACAAAACAGTCTCCTCCTCCTCCTTCTCCTCCTCCTCCTCCTCCTCCTCCTCCTCCAAAGGGAGCAGAGCCAGTGTAGGGAGACAGTCCCCCAGCGAGCGCTAGCTGGCCACTGAGCTTTGTAGCATTGCTATGCGGAGGGCGATTTCTTTTTCTGAAATTCACTGTTTCTTTTTAGATGGAGTCATTGTTTCCTCTTATTCTCTTTTAAAAGAGAGCCTTATCCTGGATTCCCCTTTGCAAAGAAATCAATGCACCCATTTCTACCTTCACCCCTTGCAGTTGTTTTACGCAGCATCCCACAAACTGGTGCTCTAACGGGAGGACAGGAAGGTCTGGGGAAGGCGTTGCCGGCCTCTGAGCTGTTGAAATCTGAGATTTGGCAGAGCCGCTCTCCCTGCCCCTTCTCTCTTCAAATTTCTCTTTCATCGAAACTAAACTGAGTTGAATTTTGTAGCCCTTGCATCTCATAGACTCGTAGCGTTGGCTGCATAACCTACCGTGATGTTTTCTGTGGCCCCGTCATGTAAGTTCGACTTCTTCTTCTTATACGGAAAGGTGTCCCGTGCTCCACGAGCACCCATGCAAAGCTCATACATACGCTCTGGTGTTGGTGGCTTTCATGGGTCACCTGTCCTGTAAGCATGTCGCTGTCGTGATTGCGTCACCCCAGTATGTTGTTGTGCAGGTATGCCCCTCACATCTTCCCGTCTCCATCAAGTGCGGGTTCTTTCTTTCAGCTAAGACTGTCGTTCCAGAGTGAGTGCAGAGCACGGCATTTGGTGTTCTATATTTTCCTTTCTCAGAAACTGCCGGGTGGCTCTTGGCATGCCAGAGATGAACGCAGTTGTAATTGGAGCCGTCCTTTGTGCCGTGTGCCCTTTCTCACGCGGACCATTCAGATTAAAAACACCTTTGTATTCAATTCCACCTTCATATGCTCTGTCATTTTCCTTGTTTGAACAACACTATAAATCCCTGTGGCGCGCTGCTTATTTGGACTGTTTCCACTTTAAAATTATACTCTGTGTTTATAAACTGGGTAGTTTCTGCTGCCACCAGGAATTTAAAGAAATTCTAAATCTTCTCTCTGTTTCTGCTGCGGGTAATGTGACCCAGGGTCTGGGCTTTCAGAGGTCTATGTGGCCCTGAGGAAGGATTGAACTGAATTCTGGGTTAAACTTAAACAAAATATGATTTATTGATTAAGGAACAAAAATAAGTTGCTGGTTAATTGTAACTGTTTTGGGGAAAGGAACTGGTAAATAAACTGGCGAGGTATCGCACACAGTCTTTTTGACAATAAGATCCCACTCTCTTTCACATAGGAAGCCACACTGGCTAAGCTCTTTGTATTATTGACTCTCTTCATAACTTTAGAGTCTCACAGACCCTTCTCGTAGCTCCTTCACACTTAAACTTTTAAAGACGTATATACTGAACTCTTTAAGTTTCCACACAGAACTCTGTCATCTCACTCACTGACTGACTCACTCTAAATCTGACCTCTCTATAACTCAGATTCACTCTGACTTCAAGACACACACACAGATTCACTCCAAACAACTCCTTCCACACTCTCAGTCATCCTCCAATCCCAGCACATCTCCCTCAATCACTCTACTCTACTGCACTCCAACCAGACATTTAAAGACACACACACACAGTAAAACAAGGCATCGTTACAATCCCTCATTTACTAACATGCTTATGGAGACTAATCTACGTGGAAGCTATAGTTCTGTTCGGAATTATATTTTATCTTTCATTTAGAGACTTATTTTAAAGTTTCTGTGCAAACCGGCTTTTCCGCTCTTGCCACTCTGATAAAAGGCACTTGCTTGTTGCTCCTCTTGGCCCATCTTGGGAGCAGTGAATTCCCTCCCTTGCTTTTTTGTCCTCAGTGACAGGATCTTTCCTTATGTTCTCTACCCAGCCAGGATTTTTGCACTTGGCTGCTCTGTGGGCTTGTTCCAAAGGATTTACTCCATGTCAGCTTTCACCTGCTAAATTCCGATTTTACAGTAGAGATAACTTCTAAAAGATTCAAATATTCTTTGGCTTATGAGGTGCTAATCAGAGAACAGAATTAATTGGGGAGGGGGCATGAAGAAGAGAGATGTTTCTCTGTCCTCTTGGGGAATACTTCTGTTTCTGCACCCGTCATTTCCTCCACCTTCTCAGTCGCCTTTTATATTGTGTTCTGCATTTCCTCCTGCTTTTTCCTCACATGCGCATTGCCTTTTTTGGTTGTTGTTGCTTCTGCATTCCCCCTCCCCCCTTCTGCTTTCAGTTCGCTGAATCCCCGGCTTTTCCGGATCTGGTTTTGCCACAGACATTTTTCTTGTTCTGCTTTCAAGTAGAGGGGTATTTCTGGTGCAGACATGATTCCGTGGATATTGCCTCATCACCCACCCTTCTCGCACCCCATTCCCACCCCTCTTTTTGTCAACCCCACCCTGTTGTTCCTCCCACTCTGCGCTTTCCGCCTTCCTGCCCACTTCCGCTCCAGGATTGCTAAACTTTGGTGGAGAAAGAAATGATTAGCAGGGGATGCTTTAAAAGTTTGGCTACAGTTAAAGGGGAGGTGGCAAACAGGCTTCTTAGAGACATTGGAAAGCTCGGGGGAAAGTGATGCTTTTCTCCCCCCCACACCCCACTTGTTCATTCTCTTGCACTCTCCCTCCCCAACTTTCAGTGACTGCTTTTGCCCTACATGTAGCAATGTGATCTCTAAGGATTTCACCTCATATTTTTCCATGTCCCTATACAAAGTGCCTTATCCTAGGGAGATGCCAGGAGAGCGGCTGCTGCCCGTGGAGTGCCGGAGAGGGCTCTTTACCAGCCAGGCTCCCAGTCTGGAGCCAGAGTGCCAGTGGTGGCTGCCCCTTGCCCGAGGCAGCTTCCCCCACCCCCAACCACCACCTTCCCCAAGCCCTCTCCATGCTTACTCTTGAAGAAAGTGAAGGGGGGGCACATAACCTTAGAGACTGTATAGAAATATTGATTTCTATAAACCCCTGCCTTCCCCTGGAATGTTTTGCTGATACCTTGCTGTGTTGCATTTCCTATTGAAGCCATATGGCCTGCCCATTTGGCCGAACCTTTACAGCCCTGCCATATAACCACCCATTCCTTCACACCCCTAGTGGAAAAGCCAGACTTGATGGGGCCTGGATTTGCTGCTTCAAGCAACCAGTCACGTACAGAATGAAGTTTTGGGGGTTGGGGGCCATGTGACCGCGGGCGTGGTTTTCCAAACTTCCAACCTATCCCTTCAAAGCTACCATGACAACCCAAAAGTTGGACACACCCTTCCTACTCATGATTGGCTGATGGCCACGGCTAGTCATGATTAGATTGGGGTTTAATTGTCTGATCCCTTGGAAGAGAGCTCTCTCTCTCTGTTCTGTTCTTGCTATCTCTGCTGCCACCTGAAATGCTGTCCTGCCATGTGGTCTCTGGGAGAGACAAAGAGCTGCTTTGGAGCTGAGCACATGCTGGCAAAGATGGATTTCTTGCTCCAAATCCCTTGGGGCTACTGGATTATTACAATGGACTATTCTGGACTGATAACTGTTCCTGACTTGGTAAATATGAAGCATTATGTTTAGCTAAGGCAAACACTGCCCTAGTATTTCTTATTTTGGAAATCCTTATTAGTCTAACTGCAAAGCTCTGTGCTGAATAAACCTTATTCTTGTTTATAAATGGTGTCTGTTTTGATGTGTAACTGAATCCTAAGCCTAAATCTTGCAGCCTAACTGGCCACACGCTACCCTTGAGTATTAAGTGTACATCTCTGAGGAGGTGCTAGTGTGTTCTGTCTGGTGGCTATTGTTCTGAAATCCAGAGAGCCTACCTCTCTGGGTTATTGTGTAATGTATTGAGCCAGTGTAGAGTTTTCCCCTCATCCCTGGACTGGCCTTGGGGGGCAGAATCTATACAGAGACATTTGAGAGTTTGGTAAAAAGTTATGCTTTTCTCTCCCCCCCCCGGTTTATTCTCTTGTGCTCCCCCTCCCCCACTTGCCCCCAACATCCACTCAGACAGAACCCCGCCAGCAGCAACTAAGGGGATGGCGGGATACAAAAGCTTAATTAAAAAAAACCCAAACCCGCTGCTCGCTCCTGTGCAGCTGCAATAGGGCGATCGCAAATGTAAAACACTTTGGATGCCAGCACCCAGCACCCCACGTCACAAGTAACATTCCAACCTGATTTGGAAAAGTGGTTTTTAAATTGTAGCTGCAGAATAAATACACTGGATGGTGTAAGACTGGTGTGAACAGCAGGAACAGAAATCCGAACTCAAGCTTAAAGGGTTGACCGCTTGGATACTCTGCAGTAAGTTGTGAGTGCAGAAAGAGCCTATAAGTCAGAAACAACTTGACGGCACTTAACACACTGGAGTAAACAGAGATACTGGCTTGCCATCCTTTTTGTGCATTGTGCAAAAAATATCCCACCCTTGTTTTGCACAGCTTGCCAACTGTAAATGTAAAAGATGTGTATCACTTTCAGTAGCAGTTATAGTGACTTGACCTTTGACATCCTTCTGATCTCCCAAGCTGATGGCTGGGTTGCAGCAGCTGGGTGGTTTGTTCGAATTACTGTTCACAGTTGGCCTTTCTTGAGCAGTATTTCTAGGTGCATTTTGTATGTTGTGAAATTCTCCTCTTTCAGGATCATTAGTCAATACTTGTAGTCTCTGTCAGTTGCCATTCTATTCTATTTGTCGAACTCTTTCAAGCCCCAGCTTGCTCTGGGGCTCTTTGTTTACTAAGTAGCTTTGCTTTCCCGAGAGTAATATTCTTTCAGTCGAATTACAAACTGCTGGGCCCATAACCTGTTAGAAGGAAGTGGTTACATGCAAGTGGAAGAGGGTAGGCTGCTTTAGAATGAAATCCATATGGAGCGTCTTAGGAAAGAATATTCTTTATACCCTGTATAAAGTCAGGAAAGGATATTCTGTTCATGTCTCTCTGTTCCCTGTTCAGGGCTAGGGGACAGGATGTCATTAGGGAAGGAGAAGACGTTTGTTTTTGAGGCAAGAGGTGGTATGTCATTGCCTGCCTCTGTGTTGCAGCCCTGGGCTTCCTTGGTGGGTGGTCTCCCATCCAAATTTGACCAAGACCGAGCCTGCATAGCTTCCAAGGACTGATGAGATTGAATTACGCTGGGCCATTCAGGTCAGGGCAGAAAAGGCAATATACGTTAAAAAAACTCCAACAACAACACTTAAAGTGAGCAGCTCTTGTTGCTCACTCATCCTGAAAGAGATGACCCCCCCCTGTAACACTTGCCTTGGCCAAGACAGACTCTTGGTCCTTCAGTTCAGCATTGTCTCCTGTGACTGACATGGCTCTGCAGCATGTCAAGCAGAGAAGAGCCTTTTCAGTACCTGCTACCTGAAACCCTTTATAAGAACATAAGAGAAGCCCCTGTGGGATCAGGCCAATGGACCATCTAGTCCAACACTCTGTTTGTCACACAGTGGCCAAAAATACCAGGTGCCACCAGGAGGTCCAGCAGTGGGGCCAGGGCACCAGAAACCCTCCCACTGTTGCCCCCCCCCAAGTACCAAGAATACAGAGCATCACCTACCCTAGACCGAGAGTGCCTATCTATACCATGTGGCTAATAGGGGCCACTGATGGACCTCTGCTCCAGATGTTTATCCAATTCCCTTTTGAAGCCATCCGTGCCTGCAGATGGACT